GTCATGTTAACTCAATACTTTCCTTGCTCCCAGTAATGTAAATCACTAGATCGAGATGAACCGTATTGTTTTAGAGTCAACTTTTTCAAACGCGATCGTTTTATTATGGGAAGATATTCATCATACCTTTGTTCATTCGACAGTAATGATATATATATTTATTCGTTAATGTAAGCAATTAAGTTATTAACTACGATTTGTATACCACTTAAAAGTAATCACTGATGAAGAATCAACATTAAGTGAAGAAACAGTGAACACTAAGAAGCTCTAAATGATTGACATACCTCACTTATCCATAATCTATAACTTGTTACAAATTACAGTATGCATAATGTCATTCAATTATCTAGTTAATGATCGTTATCAAGTATTATTGGTTAGTGATTAACTCATTTATAAGATGATTATCGACATTAATTACAAATCAAGAAAAGATTATTACATTTATTTAAAGGATGATGATTAACTATAATTAGCATATGAACTTAAATTACAATTAAATTCATAACAAACAAATCTAATTATTCCATATTTATTATTATTATTATTTGAAGACATAAATATTGGTACAAAGGGGAAACCAGATACATATGACAATTGATTGATCATTGAGTGGTGATCAATGTCATGCTTGTCTAGTCCTTACTAGTGCAGATCGAATGCCATCGATCATGTTGCAATGTGGCCACCAGTCTAGGTGACTCGACACTGTGGGCACTATATATAGAGATTAGATGGTGGTTGGAGGTTACAGGTACACTTTGCTGACGAGTGCCAAGTAGCACGAAACCTGGGTCCAGAGTTTCCTGTCGACTACCTCCAACCATCATCTAATACCAGATACATATGCTCCACACAAGTCACTTGATTTGTGTGGTTGAGATGTGATACTGTCCGAGTGCCCGAACTGCAGCAAGTGGTTCTCTTAGGAGGCCACACCTGGAGCCTTCGACCTAAAAGTCTGATCCAAAAGGCAGTGGAGCAGAATCAGGAGATGTAGTTCCATGGTAGCTGATGGTCAACGATTTGTTCATATGCCATTTGTTCCATCAGGATCCTGGAGCCCACATGCATCAGTGGTTTGGAATCAGGGTTTTTCCACTCTCCTAGGTGCAATCTTCGTGTCCTCAAACCCGAATAAATCTCCGGAGATTCGCTTTTCATTCTCCCAATTTCGTAAACATCACCTCCGGTGTAAGAAGGAAATGGGTATGTCATTTTTGTCAGTGGGCGTATACGTGTGGCCATGTAAGAGCATTTGAGGGCATTTCATATTGGTGTTACAAATCGAAAGACACAAAAAGGAAACGGAAACATGGAGAATACCGTTAAACAAAAAAAAGAATAAAATGATAGAAATATTCTATTCAGAAAGACGAAGATACACACACACACACTCTTCAACTTTGAATACATAAAAATAAACTAAAATTAAGAGGATACGATGTTAGGGTCACTGAAGTCATTTCAAGTAGTCAATGATAAACAATGAAGTCCATTTATAAACCTTTGAAATTCTAGACGTTTGAGGCTTTCTGAGTGTTAGTAGACTTCTAGAAATATACAAAACAAATCAATCCGAAATCAATAGATTATATCCTGAAGTTTGTACTGACGATGTCGTTCAGAAGAACAATGAAAGTTCAACGACCAAACCATTCAGCTCAGAGAACAAAACTCCATCAAAATAGATATATCTATATGGATTCAGTAGGTTAACCCATTTGAAGAAAATCAATCAACTATATAGTCAAAAATGAATTAATCAAGACAATCATTTAAATTGGAAAGCAAATAAAAACAACAAGATCTAGAAATCCAATCAATTACAATTAAGGTTATCAGAACACATTGAATTAAAACTTGTGTGATAATTAAAAGACTCACTTCTTTATGAAATGGAAGCTAATCATATTGTGTTTTGAATAGTAACAAGAGATTTGCAATCAAACTGAATTTTATTTAAGCTGAAATATTTTATTATCTTACCATAAAATTTAATGTTCAATAAATTAAGATCTAAGAACATCCAGATGACGAGTTTAATTAGAATGAAACACTCGTCCTTAAGATTTATTGCTTGCTACACATAAACTATGCTGAAATATTACATTCATTTACACAGAGCCCCCAAATGCCCTTGTACGGCCGAGAGTGGGGAGAGTCCGCTCTCCCTCTCCAAATGCTCTCGCATGGCCACGCGTATACACTCCTTAACAAGGAAGTTCTATTTACTGTATTCTCGTGGGATTACTGTTGTTTGCGAAACTGGGAGGATGAAAAGCGAATCTCCGGCGATTTATCTGGGTTTGTGGATACGGAGAGTTCACCTAGGGGAGTTGAAAAACCCTGAAACCAAACGGTATTCTCCATGTTTCTGTTTCGTTTTTATGTCTTTCGATTTGTAACACCAGTGTGAAATGCCACCAAATGCTTTTACATGGCCACGCGTTTATGAACACTGACAAAAATGGCATACCCACTTCCTTTTTACACCAGGGGTGATGTTTACGAAATTGAGAGGGAGAAAAGCGAATCTCCGGCGATTTATCTGGGATTGTGGATACGGAGGGTCCACCTAGGAGAGTGAAAAAACCCTGATTCCAAACCACTGATGCATGTGGGCTCCAGGATCCTGATGGAACAAATGGCATATGAACCAATCATTGGCCATTAGCTACCATGGAACTACATCTCCACTGCCTTTTGGATTAGACCTTTAGGTTGAAGGCTCCAGGTGTGGCCTCCTAAGAGAACCACTTACTTCAGTTTGGGCACTTGGACAGTATCACATCTCACACGCAAATCAAGTGACTTGTGTGGAGCATATGTACTACTGAGCTGCGTGCCAGATCGTGGATGCGCACGACTTAGGAGCTCCATAATAAGACGAAACGACCGTCCATTACTTCCAGATTTTCACTGGTGGTCTAGTTCAGATCGATTCATGAATTCAAATGTTAAAACTACTACAATCCCCACAAACCCCATTCTGCACTAAGAAGGACTTGAAACACATGACGTTGATCACCAGTCAATGAACAATCAATTTTGAAGTTTGGTACTATACCAATTATTGTTTGTCATGTAGCTTCAACTCAAAGTTTTAAACTATTAAACATTATGAGCTCCTGATTTGTTTATTCATTCACAGTAAAAGCTTTACTAACTCCATAACCTACTATATCAACATTGATTTGAGTTATCAAGCAGTACCAAGTGAATTAGAATGGTAAACGTATATCTTTATTTGGGAAATAATTTATATTATCCTTCTATTTGTATGAAGTATCCGATGAAGATCATTGACTTTTTTTCTCCATCACTATGAACTAATAAATACCCAAACTTTAATCACCTATTCTCCTAGTTCGAATTCAATTAAACATTGATTTCATCACTAAATACTATGAAATCACAAAGAAATTGAGATCCATAGGTGAATCATATTTGGAAATCAAAAACTATTCAAATAAGTAGTCTGTAAAACACTTACGCTAGATCAATGTTCAGTATGATACAACCTAACTACATAGTCTGAACAAAAAAAATCTGTACATATTTGGAACTTGAGGGGAGAGCCTTAATAAGTAATGTAACGTTTATTATTTTACATTCCCATAAATAAGCAGAATGTAATTAACATTATAAATCATGAAGTTTACAATTGAATTCTGTGAAAACTATTTTTAAGATTGGAGTTAATAGTCACCATGTGAATAAATTGCTTCTAATTGTAATCAAAAAGGGGTTTTGTAAATATTATTATTAATTTTTCATAGTTGAATTCATCAGTCAATTGATGTTAGACAACCATGGAAAACCTGGAATCAATGGACGGTTATTTCATTCTAGTATGGGACAAGTATGATGGTCTAGCTTCAATTGGCTCATGAATCCACCTATTAAAAATTACTATGATATCCACGAAACCCATCTTTGATTATATTTACCATATGCTCACGAATGACGGTCTCCAAGAGTTCTATTGTGAAGCTGTAAACAATGGAGTTCAACGTGGTCTCTTGTGAGATAGGAACTCACTGAATACAATGGTGCTTGTGTCACTTAATTTCGTGGATTAGTTGAAGTTAAACATTAACATCGTTGGATGCCGGTCGACTCATTGGTCTAGAGGTTAAATGCTTACGCACAAGGTCCGAATCTCGCGAGGTGTAATCGTAGATGCACATTGTTGAAGAGTCCCAGAATTGAATGAAACTGCGTTCCAAAGCTTCCAGATCTTCCATGGTGGTCTAACATCAATTGACTCATGAATTCAACTATTAAATGTTTCTCATTATATTTTTGTTGTTGTTTCATTCAGTTCAATATTTCTGTTCTAAATATCGTAGATTCAATCACAATTGATTGATCACTGGGTGGTGATCAATGTCATGCTGACGAGTGCCAAATAGCACGAAACCCGGGTCCAGGGTTTCCTGTTGACTACCTCCAACCACCATCTAAATCGTAGATTCAATTTTCGTTATAGATGAATAGATTTATCAATGTTATAAAACATTTAATTAATCTTCAAGTAAACAATTTCTTAGAATATTCCATTTCTTCATTAATTGTTCATTGAATATCAATTCATCAATTATACATCTACACTAATTAACATTTAAAACTATTTTTATTTCTCATTAAAGAATATACTATATACATACATGCACACACACGCACGCATAATCACACACATGCACAATCACGCACACACACATACATACATACATACACGCACATATATATTTTTGTACATAATTTTGCGTAATTATTCAAAGTGATATTTTGTTACAATAGTAAAACAAAAAATTTTTTTTCTTCAATATTCCAAAATAGATGAGAAAAACCAAGAGAAAAACACAAACAAACAAAGAAACAAGCAAATAATGTTGAAACATTTCAATGGTTAATTAATTTTTTGTGTTTTTTTTCTTGGTTTTTGTTTTCTACACACAATAAACACGGAAATCAGTTAATTGGTAAGTCATATGATTGAGTGGGTTTGTTTGTTTGTTTGTTTTTGTCTTGTTTCCTTTCAATTTACAGTACTACTACTACTACTACTACTACTACTACTACTACTACTACTACTACTACTACTACTACTACTACTACTACTACTACTACTACTACTACTACTACTACTACTACTACTACTACTACTACTACTACTACTACTACTACTACTACTACTACTACTACTACTACTACTACTACTACTACTACTACTACTACTACTACTACTACTACTACTACTACTACTACTACTACTACTACTACTACTACTACTACTACTACTACTACTACTACTACTACTACTACTACTACTACTACTCTACTACTACTACTACTACTACTACTACTACTACTACTACTACTACTACTACTACTACTACTACTACTACTACTACTACTACTACTACTACTACTACTACTACTACTACTACTACTACTACTACTACTACTACTACTACTACTACTACTACTACTACTACTACTACTACTACTACTACTACTACTACTACTACTACTACTACTACTACTACTACTACTACTACTACTACTACTACTACTACTACTACTACTACTACTACTACTACTACTACTACTACTACTACTACTACTACTACTACTACTACTACTACTACTACTACTACTACTACTACTACTACTACTACTACTACTACTACTACTACTACTACTACTACTACTACTACTACTACTACTACTACTACTACTACTACTACTACTACTACTACTACTACTACTACTACTACTACTACTACTACTACTACTACTACTACTACTACTACTACTACTACTACTACTACTACTACTACTACTACTACTACTACTACTACTACTACTACTACTACTACTACTACTACTACTACTACTACTACTACTACTACTACTACTACTACTACTACTACTACTACTACTACTACTACTACTACTACTACTACTACTACTACTACTACTACTACTACTACTACTACTACTACTACTACTACTACTACTACTACTACTACTACTACTACTACTACTACTACTACTACTACTACTACTACTACTACTACTACTACTACTACTACTACTACTACTACTACTACTACTACTACTACTACTACTACTACTACTACTACTACTACTACTACTACTACTACTACTACTACTACTACGACTACTACTACTACTACTACTACTACTACTACTACTACTACTACTACTACTACTACTACTACTACTACTACTACTACTACTACTACTACTACTACTACTACTACTAATAATAATAATAATAATAATAATAATAATAATAATAATAATAATAATAATCATAAAATTTTCTGTTCTAGTATTAAACTACTCAGAAGCCTTCATAGTCTTAAATAGGGATTGAAATTTGGATATTCAGGTTTTGTTGTGATTATTCAACTGCTAGAACTAATTGATTTTCAACTTCCATCATCGTTTTGTAATATATATGCTTCCTTACTTAATTATGCCTGTTGCTCCTAGTGGAGCATATGTCACTGACTAGAATTCTACAACTCAAACTGTCCTAGGCTTTGCTTTCTAGTTCTTTTCAATTGTTGTTCATTCTTCTTATGTTTATCTCCATTTTTCGGTGTAATTTGTTATTTGGTCTTCCTCTTCTCCTTTGGCCTTGATGATTCTATATGAGGGTTTGCCTTGTGA